TACTACTACTACTACTACTACTACTACTACTACTACTACTACTACTAGCGATGCCCTTGTTACTAGTAGCTTCTTGCTCAGTTCGTAGCGATGCCGTTTGTTACTATAGACATTTGTTGGGCTTCAGCGGTTCCAACCTGCTCTCCCATGGCGCTGGTCCGTTTCAGCGGCTGCCGCTGTTTCCCCCGAGACCGACGCAGAGCTCAGGTCTTTGCGCAAATGTCCGGTGGCGTGTGCGTCGACGGGCAGGCGTGCCCAAGAACGCAGGTGGCGAGAGGATGCGAGAGGTTTAGCGCCAGCGCTTGGGATAGTCGTGGACCATTCCCAGCAGTCGAGTGAGAGTGTTGTCAATTTAAGGTTCGTGCCAAGGTTCTGACAAACAGGGTCTTCAACAAGAGAAGGATGAGACCTCGTTGCTGGTTCTTGGTGCTCAAAAAGACTATAGAATAGTTATATTCGACTGAGACCGGATCATTGTGTTTTTTCCCCCTGCTAAGCTTCCCAGACATCCATTTGATCACCCCATGTTCATCGTCTGATGGGCTGTGCGGAGGGGTGTGGCCTGGGGATGCGTGTTTCACTTCCCAAGTGCACCGGGTCACCGGTAGTTGGCCATTATATGGGACCGCACGTGCCTAGGAAGACGCGGCCTATTGTTGCCCATTTCAGTGTTTTTGTATACCAGCACCCGACTTCACAGGTCTCCGAAATGGTGGCTTTTGGAGACTTAAAAGTCGCAGGTGGTGACCTGTTGGAAGGTCCTGGTATAGTGCTTTTACATGGACATGATTGGTATAGAATGCATATACTGTAATTCTTCCTTTGCAAGCTTCGTCCGTTCCAAGTCGACAGGTGGATGGAGGCTTTTGGCTCTACGAAGGGCTGCCCTATCCGTCCGGGCGCCAGCTGACGTTTTGTGATGGATGCCACTGAACCGGGAGATGAGATCATATATGGGATCACTTCCCATCCGGTTTGGGCCGGTGAAGGCCGGGCATTTCTTTACTTTTGTGCACTCTGACATCACATGGAAAATTGATGAACATGGTCCGAAGAGGACTTTCCTTCCTTTACGAACCATACGAACCAGGGGGGTTCCACTTCCATGTGTTCGTCGTTTCGCGTAGACCACACCGAGGCGGTCGATGTGTCACCCACCGCCGCTGTTGCAAGAGCATCTCGGAGCCGGGGACGCCGAGCGTACGCCAAGCAGCTCTGATGGCCAGGATGGCCAATTTGGAGGGAGTAGAATTACAGTATGTCATATCATGTCTAGAGCAAACGTCCAAACTTCCAAGAACCAGGATCATTTTTTACCTTCAGATTGAGTGGCATCTCGAGAGTTTTTGAAGGAATGCGGAATGCTGCATCCTTTAAGTTTCTTGGGGGAGTTGAGTAGGACCATGCTAGAGTGGGCGCGTGATTTGGGGGAATTTGACCTTGACCCTCCTCAACCGAGTGAAGAACTCATTTTGACCCAGGCTATTGTTTCGTGCTGTGTGGTGCACTGAGCCAAGAAAGGTTGGAGAACCCCAGCTGCGGCTGCGGCCGCAGCCTCCACCTGTGGAGCAACATGAACTTCAAAAGCAATTTGGAGGACTCTGGGTGGGATAAGTGGCCTCATCACCCTGTTGTGCGGAGAGGGGCCCGCCATGCTTCTCAAGCTCCAATGGTGGGGGGGTGAGCGCAACTGGAGATTGAAAACCACGTACAAGTGCATCGCGCATCCTTTGCTTCTATAGTGTCACTTGGCCGCATGCGGGGCGAGCGGCTCAAGATAGTTCTTGTTCCTATTGTCCAACCAGGTAGGCCACCCAACTCGAGATTAATTATCAGAATCAAGAAAGCAACCTCAAACGTTGTCCCATACAGAGGTAGTTACAGAGGTTTCTATATCATTTATATCCATAAGGCTGCTGTATAAATTTGCATATCATTTTGACAATTTGTTCAAGACCGAGGAATTCCGTTCACAATGTTGTGTAGACATGTGCTGTGGGGGAGAGGCATGCGGGTGCATCAGTACTAGGCCCCACGAATGCAATATCTATCCAGGCACGAGCCAGCTGTGGGAAACCAGGTTTCTGGAATCCACCCAGCTGTAGCAGCCATGGCGAAGCCAAGAACGGGGCTGCTGCTTTGCGCTTGGGCCTTGCTGCTCGTTTCAAGACGGGGGGAGTCAGGGAAACCAAGACGGAGCAATGAGAACACCTCTCTTCATGTTCTGAGGGATCATGAACTGAACCAGTCGTCCTGCCGGACCAAGATCGCGCACCACGGGTGAACCGACACCCCGGTCGATCGCACAGATGGGAGCCTTCGGACCCGGCCCTGTTTTTCAGCTAGGGCCAGGGGGGGTGTCAGGCGGCCAGGGGCAGAGCCTCGAAGCAGATAGATGGATTCGGATGGATTTCCGCCGAGGTTGGCCGTCCGCTGCTGGCCAGGCGTGCCTGGAAGGGAGAGTTTGGTGTGTCCACCGCTGGGACCTTTGCTTCAGTCTGACGCCACCAAAATGGCACTTAGCTATGAGGGGTTCGATTTCACCGGACTGCGGGTGCCAGGGCGTTTCTAGATATATACCTATACCTTTTTTTCCCAGCCATGCTTGGCCCGAATAATGCATCACCAGTTCTTGGCACAACCTGCTATGGGAGTGGATGAGGCCCAACTCCGCAAATGCAGCATGGACGAAGATGACTGAGGGGGCCCTTTCGGTCAACAGCTTGGAACATACCGGAGAGTGAATCCAGTTCTCTTTCCATCTTCGGAGCCTCACTGGAAGAATTGATGAATTCGTGATGCACTTATCAACTAGGCCACCGACCCCGTTTCGAGCCACAGTCCAGGTGCTTTCGCCCGGGGCACTGGAAGATTCCTGCGACCCCGCGGGGCCGCAGGCTTCGCAGGCCTCGGCCTCAGAGCAGAGGAAGGCGGGACGAGCAGATGGTGAAGAGTGGCGAGGGGCGACACACCATGGTAGGATGGTGAATGATGGTGAGTTGATGGAAGGATAGTAATAGTAGTGAGTTGGTTGTTTTTTCTCCCCTTTTGCAACGATCAACGGCAACGGGCTCAAGGCTTGTAGAACCAATTGCACGATGTTTTCTGCAGCATGTATCTTTTTTGGCGTTTTCAATCTCATTTGTCAGGTGAGGAGGATGGCATACATTTGTGGACTCATTTGCGGACTCAGACTGAATGGGATGACCCTTGGGGCCTTGCCAGTCAGAGTGTAGGACTAGTATACCGGTACAGACTGGCACCATAATCATTCATTCACTATTGGCTACACATCCCTACACCTTTGCTGATACATCCCTAGACTGGGGTGTTTTCATGGGGCACCTGGCCAGTCCATGCGGGCACGCTTCACCCGCAGCGCTTCGCAGGATCCAGCTCGGTGAAGCTGATGCTGAACGCGGAGGAGCGTGTACAGCTCATGGACCTGGGCTACAGCGAAGAGGAGGCGGGAATTCTGAAGCAGTGGAGGATTTCGGGAGATTTGGGTTAGAAAAAGGGGGCCCAATAAGCGCCTTCATGCAGAGCCAAATCTCAAGACTCAAGAGCAGCCCCGCAGGCCATTCAGACTACGTCATGCCAAATTGCAAAAGAAAATAGTCAGGAGCCAGTTGCCTAATGGGTATGGCGTTGACTTGCGAAGCGAATGATCGCTTTGTTCAGCACAAACTCTGGTGGTTCGAGTCCACCCTGGCTCGTCCATTGTTTTGTTTGCCTGTCCTCGATACTCTTTTAAGAGGAAAAGGAGGTTGGACAACCATTTGATGAATTTGGTCCAACCGGGATCAAGGATCGAGGAGGAGGAGGAGGGAGGTCCGGTCGCTGTTCTTGCTGAATGGAATGGGAGTCTATGCTTAATTTTCTAGGCCTAGAGGGCGAGTAGTTTCTTTTGTCCGCAGTGAATTTAAAGGCAAAAGGGGTCAACTCCCCTGATTTGCACAGGAGCTGCCTTTCGATTCTTGCCTGTGGTTCTTAGACCCTTCCACGAACTGAAGACAGATGCTGGTTGAGCTGAGGGCAACTTGACCCAAATCCTAGGTCGTGAACATAAAGCCTCCGAGGTGGCTGGTGGGAAATTTACATAAAGAATCTGGGTGCAATCCAAGGACCGCTGCAATTGATTCAGACTTGCCACGGCAGCCCACGGCCCCCTAAAACAACCCCCCCAAACAGGTCGGGTGTCTTGGCTCCTGCACGGGCTCCTTCTACCACCTGACCAGGTTTTTCAGGTGGGCCAGGCAGCCTGCGGACGTCAGGGGAGTCGGCGTGTGCCAAACTGCCTGAGGCTGCAGAGATGAGAGTGGAGCTGGCGCCCCTTAGCGTCTCTTTTTGGGTTGCGGACGAAGGGAACTTGGTCGATGCTGAGACCTGCTGAGTTCTCTCAGAGAGTGGATGATGTTGGGATTCGATTCAAACAAGTAGGGAGCCCACATGAACTGCCAAAACCATGTGTTGGAGAATCTAGCAGAAATCGAATCGTTACAATCAATCAGTTATATACTATTCCACAGCGGATGCGTTCGGTGTTTCACAGGACTGGGTCCACACTCCACAGCTCAAAACTTACCTGAAGCGTCGCAGGGATCCCCATTGAATCCCTTTTGCAAGTGTCATGACCCTAACTTTCTATGGTGTGCATGTGGTCAAGAATCGAGAAGCCACTGTAACTACCAGATTTTGAGCAACGCATTCGATTTAGTAGAGTATAGTAGAGTAATAATTTGAGCAATTAGTCTAACCTGGTGAATGACAACATAAAACCCCGCCAGAAACTGATGCGCCTCCTAAAGATCCTAAAGCGCAACATTCGAACCACATTTGTAACACCCTTTTTGCCAGCCAACTTACGTTGAAACATGACTAACATGTACTCCCCTGCAGATTAACATGGACCCCCAAAACCACTGGCTTGGTCCAATTGGTATTTGGAAATGGTCTTCCGCCGGTCAATTCTCAGGTTCCATGGGGTCGTTGTGGGAGGGTAGTAACATTTGGACACTCCAAAGTCTCCAGCTTTGCTTCAAGAGAGATGTTCCGGTCTTTGGATGGTTTTGACGCTTCTTGTTGCTTCGCAAAAGAGGAGCTGCTAGAACCATCTAGGACCGAAAGTGGCCTCCCACCTGCACTCGCAAAGCTTGAATTCAGAAGCACCATGAAGCACCTCAGTCCGACATGTCTCCAAGAAACCCATCGCTTTTGGTCGGCTCCGAGGCAAGCCGTCCTGGCGCGGCAGACGCGGCGGCCGTGGGGCGAGCGTCCCATGCCCGAGGAATGGCGGGACCAGGCCGAATTCGCATTTCATGGCTCGTAGGTTTGGAGGCCATGCTGCTATTAGGTTGGAGGCCATTGCTCTTAGGGGGAGCTAACCCGCTAAGCCCTTGGCCGTTGTTTCCATCGCTATAGAATTAGGCTCCTTTGAATGCTATTCGGTTGGAGGCCATTGCTCTTCTCTCACCATGTGCTCGGACTGGATGTTCTGGGACTGGGCCCAGTTTTGGAACGAGTCGGTGTGCAGTGCGGGCTTTGTTCGCCCATGAGCCATATATTTGTCGTCACATTCCGTGTTGGTTTATGGTGGTTTCTATATATGTTCATGTGAATGTGACCGTTCATTGCGATGTTTTTGGGCGGTGACCATCAGGCATGAGGATGCATGATGGGTGTACCTACCGAGATCTACCGAGCCTATGAACCGTACCACTGAACCACGGGGTCCCACTGTCAGAGGTTGCTCCCCAAAGCCCTGGAAATCCTGTTGACGGGTGCCGATGAGAAGGATACTCTTCCAACGAGCGATGCCCAACCAAGTGAATTGTATACTTTTTAAAATACTGTATATATAGTATATAACTGCATATACATATGTAACTTTTGTTGATCCTACTATTTATGCTCATCCATTCTTATTTTGCCGTGTTTGTCTTTTTACTCAGCCATCCGTCATTTTGCCGGGGGGATCTAAGCAGGACATGGCAGGACCTGTCCCCGCTGATGCTTTGCCCGCCAGGCAGTGAAGGCCGCGCGTGAGGCGGACTTGGAGCGACTGCAGGTGCCGATGGCGCATCAGTTCACCCCAGACACAAGCCATGGGAACAGTAATATATTTGCCGTTTAGTTGGAACGATGTAGGTGGCAATATGGGGCGTCACTTGGGTGGTTTTCTCAGACTCACTTTTATCCACATCCATGCGACCCTCAACTGGCCGAACAACGATCCTCATGCAGAGTTTGGCTTCCGTGGGTGCCGGTGGCGCAGTGGACGTGACGCAGGACCCATCGGGCGCCGCACGTGACTCTGCGAATGGGCCGGATTTTGCGCTGGTGGTGGGCACCACGGTGACTCAGCTTGATGTGTGAAAAACGGGCGCGGTTTGAAGCCAAAGAAGGTCCCACATCGCAGTCACAAGTGGCGAAGTGCAGACTGCGAATGAACACATAGCAAGACTACATATACAGATAGACGTATACAAATACAACTTATACACTGTACACTGCCGGTGGTGTTTTCTGGACTCGTTCAAAGGGGTGGCATTGCCGATCTCGGGGTCCGGCGGGTGGCAGTGGGTAGACCTTGGTGAACCTGCATTTAGACATGAGTCCATTGGCAGTAAATGGGTCCATACCACTTTTCAGGAGAGCCAGTTCGATTGGATACTGTACAGTAGTCATCTTTATTGGGGTGACACCATGATAAACTGCGAGCCCCTTGGTGCAGCACTGTGCAAGATTGGAGGCATCATACCATGGCAAGCTGACTCAACAGACAAGCTCCACAGACAAACATCAAGGTGGTCGTTTTGCTGCTGATGTTTGCCGTGCTTGTGGTGGCTGGCACGACCCTTTGCTGCAGAGGGGTTGCAAGGGAGTGGCTCGGGCCCGAGCGGGATACAAAGGCTGGGGCGGCTGGGCTCTAAGATTAGCAAACTTTGGCAACTTCTTGAACTTGGTGCTGTCGGTGTTCCACTTCAGCCCTGAACAACGTTTCCGGTTTGGACTTGCTTGCCCTTCAGATTTGCTTCAGGACATTTAATCAATGAAAAAAGCCATGACAAGCTCAGTACATGGCAGGTTACTGACTATATAGATTCGTTCCACTGTTTGCGGATTTTCCTACTTGCTAATCACCCATGCCCCCCCATGCGCTGGAGCTTCCTGCTTAACATACCCTCTTCTGATACCTTGGCTGCGGCCACACTTCCCACAACCAGAGATGCTAACCCGCATCCAAGGCATCCAATCGGTTTTTTGTCCAGCATGAGGCAAGGGTTGTCCAGCGTCCAGCTAGGGCCCGCGGAACTCCCATGGAATCCCAAGACATACCCCGACCCTCAGAGAAGCAACGAGCAGAACAACCCCAATAAAGGTGCGGTGGGACCGCGTGGAGCAACTAAGACTTCAGCCTGGTAGGCTGATTTTGTTGCTCTTGTCCATGGCTTTAGACATCCGTGACGATGTTGAACACAGAGAGAGAGGGACATGCGTCTTTCGTCACCAAAGACCTGCGGGAATTGCAAGGTGTTGTTTTGATTTGGACGAGCGAGACAGGTCGGTGGGTGAAACTTTCTGGCTAAGCATCCTGTGAAACGTTCCGACCGGCGGCTAAGCTCGGCTAAGCCATGCAATTGTTCTCATCCCTTGAAGCCCAACAAGTTCTTGCTCCTAGGCCCTTGGAAGGGCCAAGCACCTACTTGCCACCGCAACGCGCCTTGGGTGGTGACGGAACGTGGCGAGTGATGCCACGAATGATGACGAACGTGTTGCCACCATCACGATGGTCACGGTGGTTTTGACTAGCATTTAGTAGCAGGTGTAGTATATCCTACTACTTCAATTGCATATATTAACAAAACGTATGTCATGTCCTTATTGAGGTGCGAATGGTCATTTAGAATATCCAAGTATTCCAAGAGACTTGCTTCTTTGGCCACTGCCAATCAAAATCCCAAACGGACCTCTTCTTGGCTTGGTCTTCGTGAGAAGGGGTGGTCGGTGACCGGGAAACCGCACGAGCCCCACGCCACGGCGAGGCCTTCCGGAGTATTCCTTGAAGTCCTAGACGGAACTCTCCGCAGTGCTGCGCAGTCCGCAGTTCGGCTTTTCATTTTTTCCGGGAGCACTCGGCCGCCAAACAAAGCGGCTGATTGGTGCGCCGGCGCACTCTGCGGAAAAGACCTGAGGGATAAGATATACTGCAACTACTACAATTGATGAGACGTAGATAGAGATGTAGATCTTTCATGGTCTTTCATGTGTAATTACCGTATTTAGCCTGCGTTTATATAATTGTGTATACAGTGTGCATCGATTTTTAGATGACACACAGTATGACACACACACACATATATCGTGTGTCAGTTTGCTGTCCTGATGAGTGGAACTGCTGTCACCCTAAGCGAACGACACGAACCATGTTCGGCGAACGTCGGCATCCACGCGAGTTCGGACCACTGTGAGTAAAGCAGAGAATAGCAGATACATAGTCTACGAGCATTCTGATACAAGAAACCGGTGAACTGTGATCCCGAAAAAGAACATATCCTCGGCAAGGTGGTTTGTTAGGTCAATACAAAAACACCATATTGAAGTCCTTTGCACCCCGGAAAAAATGGTTCAAGCAGCTCAGACTTGGAGCGTTGCAAATGCATCAAGAAAAGCCGAGAGGAGCAAAAGGCATCCTGCAAGCACAAGTGAATGCTCAAAAATTTGGATCCATGAGATGTTGCTGCTACATACACTACTGTTGAGAGGATGTGCACTTTCAAGAGCACATCCCTCCTTTCAACTTACAGCCGCTGAGATCTCCCTTCGCCCAGTGGTCCAGCAATTGGCATCCAGTCTCGAGCCTATTCCATGTGGAGTTTTGACCAGGTCGAACAGTTTCACGTTGTTTGCATGACATTAGACGCAGAGGATTCACCAGCATGCTTTCGTGCACTCCAATGACCAAAATGGCGTTCTTCCTGGTCCTCCGGCTGCTCAGCATCAGAGCCTACGCCAGCGCATACTGTCCCGGCTGTGCGGCACCACGGCCTCCGGCGCTACTTCAGCTGCGGACGCGGGAGGTGGGACCCCAACACGTTGTGCTGGTGACCTGGTGCTTTATTTAATATGATGGTGCATGATGCAACTTTGTGTCCTGCCAGTTGGGTCTATCTCCCTTGGCCGGATCGAAGGAATTCACGGACTTTTGCCATCAGCATGTTGCCAGGTTGCCCAACAACAACAAAAAAGAACCTAAAGACGCGGAGTGTCTTTTTCCGGTGCAGTGTCGCCTTTGAAGGCGACACACAATATGACACACACACACATGCACATCATAATATAATGTGTGTAAATAGATGCATCATGAAAATTTATGTGTATATAATATATATATATATATGTATGTGTGTGTGTGTGTGTCAATCTTTGCTACACAGAGAGGAGAGAGATGGAGAGGGAGGCTGGCAGACAATTTGGGGAGAGACAGAGGGAGGGAAGGAGATCAGTCCATAGCAGTTTTGGACCGGTTTGATGACCGTTGGGCGAACCCGCACAAAGAATTGATGTCACATAAGATCACATCAGCCTCCCTTTTCAGGGCTTTGATTGGTCTCAACTGATTCAACAACCAAGAGCCGGATGAGCAGGATGAGCTCTAAGAGCCGCTAGCCAGTCCTCTTCCGATCGGGCACCGACCCTTTGCGGGCACCTGTTTCGAGTTGTTTCTTTCTCTCCTGTCAGCCTTGAGCCTTGGGGATTTCGGATTGGCCGTGCAGCAACCTGCCGCCCGCCATCAGGTGCTTCACCGGAAGGACTGGATGCTTTTGGAGCATGTGGCAGGCAATTGCCTCGAGGCGGGGTAGGGGCCAATTCGTTGACTGCGTGGTGGTATATAAACCTATATAATATATATATATATACATACATGCATTCCAAGGGACATTGTAGTAGCTTCTTGTTCCTACTAGTAGCGATGCCCTTTGTTACTACTAGCGTCCTTGTTCCTAGTAGTAAGGCCAGGAGCTACAAGTAGCGTCCTTGCTCCGTTTGTAGCGATGCCCTTGTTACTAGTAGCATCCAGAACTGGCGAGGCGTCAGCAGAAGCGCACAACGGCATTCGACCAAGCTTGCAGCCCTGTGACTCGCAAAAAGACTTGCAGAAGTGGGCTGCTTGGAATGCACGCACGGCCTCCTCGAAGGATCTCGCATACCCCTTCGTCGGTTTAGGGCGTGCAGAAAGGCCAGTTGATTGGTGGTCTGGTTTGGTGTATGCTCTTGTTTGGAGAAAGATTGTGCTTGGTGAGTGGTCCCTGATTTGGTATGATTCTTGCTTCATGATCACTAGGCTGCAAGACACTGTGAAAGGCCTTGTAGGTCGAACATGCCCTTCTACACGACGGACTATTTCAAACGCAATTCTGGTACTCTGCCGTCGGACACGCTGTTCGTCCTTGGTTCGTCCTAGCTGTGTTCGGCCGGTGCAGCCACAGTGGGTTGTCCAGCGAATGGAGGTCTACAACGAGGACTCTGGGCTCTTCAAGCACTTGCATGGCAAATGCCTCGACGTTTCTGGGCTCCACCGGCGGATAGCGGGGTGCCCTTGCAAGGGCACAAGCCATGTTCCTTGAGTCGATGTCACTGGGAGGAGCAAGGCCGTTTGCAGATGTTTTTGGGGCGTCCGCTGGCAATGATGTTTGTTTGATTGTTTCAACGTAGACTCCTGATTAGTAAGCCCCCGATTGGAATTGGAAATCCTCGTGAGGCTCGGGGTTTATGAATGAAGAGTCTACATATGTCAAATTACATTACATTATATAGTTTTATGATTTCCCCTTCCTGCTGTACTGGTGGCTTGTAGGTGCTAGTGTCTACGCAAGTTTCTTTACATCTCCTGTGTGTTTCTTTAGGTGAGTGGGGCCGGATGGATTTGCCCCCCCCAGAACGACCGTCCGTCTTCCAGGCTTCTGCGAGAGATGTCAACGACGGCCTCATCCATATGTGGGACTGTGAAGCTTCGCAGGCATCAGAGAGACAAGGATTTACAGGGCATTGGATCTATATAGACCCTAAATAAATAGAAAAGTAACTCCCCACTCAAAATTGTATTGGAAACCATTTCTATCTACTTGGAGACCACTATAGTGTTGCCGTTTCTGGAGGAGTTTCCGAATCGGCGTCAGATCATGCGAGCCAGAAAGACAATATTTGTAGGCTCAGCTCGACGAAGACCGGGGAAGGGTCACTCATGTGCTACTGAGGATTCCAGCAACAAAAATCAGATGTGGGATTGGACAGAGCTGCTTGGTGCACCTGGGTTCTGACATTCGGAACTTACATACCTTGGCTTGGATAATGTTTTTGCATATGACATACGGAAACGGCTCCCAACATGTATGGGTGTTTGTTCCCTGGGCTCGCGGTATTAGCAACAGAATGAACAGCATGGAGCTCAAGAGGAGGTTCCACACATCAGGACACGAAAGTTGGTGAAGAACCGCTATGGTCGTTGACTCTTGGCTTCAATATGTGTTACCGTGATTGCCCATGTTGGCCTTGGTAGCCGAGGCACTAGCTTGCCGGATTCTGACTCCACTTGGTCTGGCCAGAAGGGCACCCTTCGATGTGTTTAAAGCAAGTAGGGGGCCAGTTGCCCAATGGGTACGCGTTGTTTTGCGAAATCCTGCGTGACTTTGTTCAGCACAAACTCTGGTGGTTCAACCCACCCTGGCTCGTTTTTGCAGAAATTGTTATTCCTAATAGCCTAATAGCCATTAGTAGCCAATATATTGCCTTTGGTGGTTGAGCTCCGTCCTTCTCCTTGTTGTCATTGTTGGTGTGCTCCTCATGGAGTCTGAATCCCTGTGGGCCGACCTGCGCGGCAAATCCGGTCGACTTACCCTTACAGCATCTTAGAGCAGCTTTTTCCAGCGGAGCGCTGCCTAGTCCTGCCATCATTGTGGTCTCAAACATCAAGGAGTCTTGTATAGATGAACGTGGTTTTGGACTGGCGTGGTTTGGGAATTAATGCTCGGATGTGCATCCCAAGCTCGTCCGAGGTATCTCTTGTAAAAATTCGTTTTATAGATCACGTGACTGACCCTCGTTCCAACAAGTATGAAGTGGACAATGGCCCCATCGATGCCCCATCCGTGGAAGACCATGTTCGATCGCAAGGACTGGAAAGCCTTGGTAACCTGGTACCGCCGATCTCAGGTATGGATGCCCCTGACCCTTCCGTGCCTGGCAGCGGTGTCCACATGTGGAGCCTTGACCAGCGATTAGATAGGTAAGTAAAGAGTTGGTGGACCTGGTTTCACACCCACAACATCCCACAACGTTGAGTTTTGTTTGAGTTTTTTTCCTCCTTCGAAGCCTTCAAGGGGGTATCATAGTGTGATTGCTCAAGTCATGCACTGTGCAAAACATAATGAATGTGCGTGGTGTTGTTTTTGAATGGCCCCACGGTGCTGGCCCAGTGGCCAGCCAGCAACTGGATGCCACTGGTCAGTTGTGGCAGCCCGCACCCTGTAACAGTTCGATCATGCACCAATGACATATACGCCTCGTGTTTATTTTTTGGGGGGTCATTCTTGTGAAAATGGGAGTGGAAAGGTGGGTAAGAGACATATGTATTACTGTACATTGCATTATTAATTTAGGGCGCTTCAAAAGCTAATCCTCAATCCTTAGCCGCTTTGCGGATTAAAGGTTTGCGGATTACGTTGTTGGGGAGCAAAATCAACCTGAAAGTGTGGTCAATCTGACGCATCTTGTTTGGAGGACTAAGTAGTACCTATCAACTCTTGTTGCAGCGCTCAGGGCTCCACTTGTGTTTGTTTAGCTGACCTTTGCCATGGGGAGGGCATTTGCCGCCTTTTATATCATGTTGAAGAAGGATGGCAAGCTTGAGGGGTTGAAGGGCTCAAAAAGCTGCATGGCAGAGGCCAGCAGGTTGTGGCAAGAGTTTAGCAAGGATGACAGAAAGCACTACGAAGCCGTGGCTACTGGACATGAGTCAGCTCAGCCAGCTGACGCAGCTCCGGAGTCGGATGTGGTGGAAGTTGCTATGGCACCGAAGCGTGCACCGAATGCCTACCAGGTGTGGTACAAAGAGTCTCCCGAAGCTACTGCTCTCCCAACGAAAGACAAGATGAAAGAGGCAGCCAAGTTGTGGAAGGCCATGAGTGCAGAGGCAAAGCAGCCGTTTTACGAGAAGGCAGCAGGCCTCAAAAAGGACGAGGTCCAAGAGCTACACGCCGATGTTGTAGCGCTTTGGTTTATTTAGTGGAGGGTCAGGGACACACGGAAGGGTAGAGCACAGAAAGGGCTTTGCGACAACTTACTCTACTGACTTTGTAGCAGGCCCAGGACATTCGTAGGCAAGCTAACGCTAGCCAACGAAGCTACAGAAATGGGTGGGTGAGTCTGTGGACGCACAGACTTGTACCTGCAAAGCAACTGTTGTTCACGCTGTCCACTCCTCTGGTTTGCTGCCATGGCGGGTTTTCATGATATCATATCACTGAAGACCCCGGCCATAGAAATTGAATCACTAGTGTTGATTCTATCCAGACTACTTTGGAGACCCACCGTACCCCAAATGCAATCAAAGGTGGATTCAACCATTCAAAAGGTAGGCAGTGCGCACTGAAAAGTTTTTGGCGAGTTTTGATTCTATCCGGACTACTTTGGGCCCCGAAGATACCCAAACGCAATCAAAGCCAGTCTCAAAAGCTTCCACAACCCAAGCCTGCAGGCAATTATTTCATCACTTTTGTGATTCCGCCTAGACTACTTTGCGTCTCAAGATTTTCCAAATATAATCAAAGTTAGATGGAAAAGGTAAGGAGTGCACACCGAAGTACTTCCTGAAAGCTCAGCAGCCCCATTAAGGCTGGATTCCATTGCTTGGATTGCCGTGCTCTTTACCATGTGTCCAAGCCTCCTTTGCGATTTTGCCCGACCTGTTTCCATGCGACAACGACTTGTGAGTTCAGACCTCAGCTGCCTAACAGTCTTGCGGCGTTGAAACGTTCATGTAGCACAGACGGTCACGCCTTTGATTTGAAGCCTCATGATTGCTCCAGGGCACAGAGACACAGGGGATATAGTTTCTGCCAAGAGGTAAACTAGCACAGGTTTCACCAAGCCATGAGTCCGACTATTGGCGAGATCATGCGAATGTCTGTGGACGATTTAGCAAAAGCCTGCCGGGAGAGAAAACTGTGCCTGCAAGGTTTTCGATGGGTTCTTGCCGTGAGGCTCGCTGTGTGGGAAGACCCGTCCATTGTGGAGCTGTGTCCTGCTGTAGCAGACAAGCTCGCAGGACGTCGTCCTGCAAGAGCAAGGCCGGCTCCAGTTGACACTGCAGAGCGATTCTGTCAGACAGACTTGCCAGTTGACACTGCAGAGCGATTCTGTCAGACAGACTTGCCTTGCTTAGACGTTGTGCATGACGCCGCTGAGTGCTTCGCAACTCCTGAGAAGAGGGAACAGTCTTCTAGTCCAGATGCAACGCCAAGCATGCCCCCCAGTGCAGAAAAAGCTCCACAGTCCTCCCGCTACAAGCTGCGAGCAAGTTTGTCTGTCCAGCAGCCAGTGGAGCCTGGAGAGATAGAGGAGATACCAGACGGTCCTTGTGAAGTCTGTGAACAGGCTTCCTGCATTTGCTTGGAGAAGGTAAAGCGCATGAGGCATCGTGCTATGTACACCCTCCCTGGACAAAGTCCGAAGTGCTTCCTCCGCTACAAGTGTGTGAACAACAAGCACTTTGTCGGTTGTTCTCTGTGCATTGCATATGCAAGCCATGGTCACAAGCTCCGAGGTCGGCAATCCTTGGGCCGCAATTTGAACTCGATGTTGAAAACCCTCACAATCACGGCCGTGATTTGCTGCATGAGCACTAGAAGAAAAGCAGTGGTGACCATCAACGAGCTCTAACCTGGATGGCTGAAAGGCTTGAGTGCCCTCCACAGATGCAGCAGTTAGACCAAGCCGGTGCTGCTCCCAAGAAAAGACCCAGAGAGTCTGTTCGGACCACGTGCGAGGAAGAGAATGTGATTCTTTTGGCCTACACAAGTCTGAAACTGGGTTGTCCAACCGTAACCGAGACTACGAAACCTTGGCGCGATGTGTTCATGCTTTGGATGCTTCTACGCCATCTGCCTACATGAGTAGCCGCTTCTACCGTGAGATCACAGACTGTGCAGCTTCTTGCTTGCTCCGGGATTTGGTGAATGCAGTTCGAAAGTCGCCTGTGCTGACCATTTGCTGCGACGAGGGTGTCGTCAATAGTGGTTTTTTTTCTGCATTCAGGTTCACTACCTGAATGAGAAGAATGATGCTCGGGCCCAATGTTTTTATTAAAAGACGGGTCAGTAAAGCTGGGGCGATAGTCGCTCTAGTTATGAGTGGGGATGCGCCTGATGCTGGCACGCCCGACGAACATGGGCGATGTGAAGCGCAGCATGAGTTGAAAAGAAAGTTTCTCGGTGCACATGGCTTCAACTTTTTTTTGTTGTTGGTTTCCCGGGCATTCATGCAGGGCTTTGTTTCCTTTTTGTCGACCAGGTTCGCAACAGTCATTTTCTTGGAAAGCTCTGATGAAGAGCCAGTGACGCAGATGCGTCCAGGGAAGAAGCATTTCGAAGGGCAAAGCACAGAACCTGATTTCCCGCATCCTGGTTCCACAACTGCTGGGCATCGTATTGGTCCGAAGACTCGATGCTGCGTGTAGCTCTGCGAGCTCTTCTACGCGCAGGTATGGGCATGTGCATGATTACCAAGTGCGTCCCCACCCAAATGACTGGAAGCAAAGCACGTTGGGATGGCACAGCATTTAAAGAGCAGCAAGGTGCCTGGCGACCACCACCAGGACAATATCTAAATCCTGGGAAATTTAAGCCGCCGAAGACTCGGCAAAAGCTTTTGTTTGATTCCTGGCCAAAGGACCACTGACCAATTTGAGCGACTCAGAAGGGAGTCGCACTGGCTTCGGCCTGAAATGCGTGCAACCGCAACCTAGGTCGTAGTTGTGACAGCATATCTGGCTTTTCTTGTCGGCAGCTCAAGTCATTGAGGTTTGACCTGGGCGCCGCACTGTGGGTGGTCAATCCGAAGCTTGCAAGCAAACCATTTCACGAACTTTGTTCCCAAGAAGCTCGGAAACTCCCTCAGCAAGTGGCTGCTGGCATTAAGCCGCGTGAAATCCGTGAGGCAGCAGGGCCTTCCACCGGTTGCTCATACAGAGTAAGTAGCCGTCGCAATTAATATGTATAGTGCAGTGCTGTATATGTTTTGTGCAATTAATATGTATGTAGAGAGAGAGAGAAAGAGACAGAGCGTCTTGGTGGGTCCTGGCCGGTCTGGTGGGGAATGCCCCGACGAAAAAGAAAGGGAGTACGGTTCCCCACACAAAGACGCAAGGCAAGGAGAAGAGGGAGAGAGAGAGAGAGAGACAGAGCGTCTTTGTGGGTCCTGGCCGGTCTGGTATAGGGAATGCCCCACCAGACGAAAAAGAAAGGGAGTACGGTTCCCCACACAAAGACGCAAGGCCAAGAGAAGAGAGAGAGAGAGAGAGAGACGGAGCGTCTTGGTGGGTCCTGGCCGGTCTGGTGGGGAATGCCCCACCAGACGAAAAAGGAAGGGAGTACGGTTCCCCACACATAGACGCAAGGCTAAGAGAAGACAGACGCAGAGATAAGACAGAGAGAGAGAGGAGAGAGAGACTTTTCAAAAGGGATTTGTATCAAAACTTTTGATTGCGCCGGGCTGTATGCTTTGGAGAGCAAAGGTACCCCAAGTGCGTTCAAGGGTAGATTCATTCTCTAGGCAGCCCAAGCCAGTACGTAATTGTATCAGTAGTTTTGATTATGCCAGGACTGCTTTGGAGACCAAAGGTACCCCAAGTGCGTTCAAGGGTAGATTCATTCTCTAGCCAGCCCAAGCGAGTAGGCAATTGTATCAGTAGTTTTGATTATGCCAGGACTGCTTTGGAGACGAAAGATACCCCAAGTGCATTCAAAGGTAGTCTCATTCTCTATCCAGCCCAGTCTGGTAGGCCAGGCATTTGTATCAGTAGTTTTGTCTGTGCGGTTCTACTTTGGAAGAAAGCGAGCTGATATCTTCGTTTTGTGTTTCATGGCTGCTGCAGGCCATCAAGTTGAGCATTGTGGAAGCAGACCGTCCCCGGCACGTGAAGTTTGGCCAAGATGCTTGCGATGTTCTTGGCTTTGCTTTGGAAACTTTGCTAACCCTGTTCTTTCACAGAGGCAAGTTGGCAGCCGATCATCGCAAGCGTAAGACTTTGGAACCCAAAGACCTACGGCTCGGAGAAATGTTGTCCAATGAGGAGAAAGTGGTCGAAAGCCTCCAGAATTGCCAGAATGCTGACTTGAATTCGGCCAGATCCGCGGAGCTTGTCAGCCGCAAAAAGCGGAAGACCGATATTTTTGCCGCGCGGTCTCCCAAGACTCCAAGCTCGAAAGGCAGAGCTCCAGCCTCGCCCCTTGTTGACGAGTAGACAGCTTGGAAAATACTAGTGACCACTTGAACTTGACACTACCACCTCTCCAAACGGTTCTTGCTGGTTAGGGGGTGGCTTAGCGTGACGGGCACGCTGCGACTCAAAGAACTCTGTGGGTGCCGACTCTCGACGAGTCCTGTGGGGAAAAAAAGATGCGCCTAGCCCTTCGCAATCTGAAGTCATTTCACAGCTTCACATCATTTCAGACCCATATATCTCCAAGTAGATTCACTAGTGTTTACCCCATCACTGTGTGCTGGTTGTATGTGCCCGGATTAAGGATTAAACCCGATTAGGCCTCCCAAAAAGATTAACGGATTCAGGATTAGTTTTAGCACGCGGGAGATTTCGGAGCAGCCATATATATATATAGTATTACTTGTTAATTGTGAACATTTGTATGCATTTGTGAAATTATTCTGGATTTCTGGGTTGGCCCAAGGATTTTCAGCTTGTGGGGGAATCTTTTCCTGCAAGCTCGAGCCGGTTCGTCCTGGCAAAATTACCCTCAAACATGTCTAACATGTTCAAAGCTCCCCAGTATATTACCGCTGCGCATGTATTGATCAACGAAGACATGCCATTTCCTCACACAATATAATACCCACACACGCAAAGCCATCAAATGCTGGGGGGCTTGAAGCCAAGCGAGATGTGAAAACATTTGTCGTTTTTCAGGAAGTGTGACCAGAAGCTGACTAACCAGCAGTGGAACTTGGTGACGGCGGATTCTGTGAGCACGAGTTACAGTTCTAGCAGCACCACAGAGGCCCGGACTCCACGCAGTTGGGTCGTGACCCATAATATTGGTGTGGGATATCCACCGTGAGATGAATCATGGACAGCTTGTGCACTCAACATCAAGAATCCACAAATAGATCAAAGATGATCAAAACTGATGTTGAGTAATAAGATCAAGCTGATGCTTGGCATAATAGATCGGTATACCCCTTGATATGATCACGCTTTGCGTGATGACCTAAACTAAACCAGGTCCTGAACCCAAGGTTGTCCATCATTCTCTCGGATGGGGAGCCAGGTCTACCGGTGGTCGTGACACTCTTCTTTTCAATGAGGCTGGACTACTGTTGATGGAAGACTTCCAAGGCTAGGACCCCGGGAATCGCTACTCATGCCATGCGTTCATATGGTTGACTTTCTAGTTGGCCATGCGTTCATACGACCACCGAAAACAGGCTAGCATCCAGCATCTTTTGACACCAACATCCACCTGCAAGCAGGGGCCGAAAGCAAAGCGTTTGAACCCCGAGGCATGTTTGATCCTGACCCTAGGAATCCTTGAGGCCCTTGGATCCTGGAGGCCCTTGGATCTGAAACCAGCCTTGGATCGTGGATCGATCCTAATGATCCTAGGACACTTGGATCCAATAGGATCCCAAAACGTATGTTGTCAAATCTTGGATCAACAGGGTACGGGAACTGGCTTTTGCACATGCATGCGTTTGCAGTCCATGTACGTGCTCGAAGTCTAAGCACCTAGATCCCAAATGATTTCGGTAGCCCAATCTTTGGAGGCGGATGTGTTGGGAGCTGGGAGGGTAATTACCATATAATATAGATTGATAGATACATCGCATCATGTACTGTAGTAGGTACTTGTGGGTACTTACTTTGTGTTAGGCCCGGGAGATTCACATGGCAGAACCCTCGGGGCGGCAACATCTCCCACCACAAGACCGGATAAAACCGAAGGGCTGGGCAGCCATCGATGGAGCCGCGGCACTGCTGTCAGCACAACACAGGCGGTTCTCTAGTCCCTTTGTTCGAAAACGCGCCAGCGCTCTTGAATGACCACAGTATCTAAGTGCATCTATAGGTGCGTCATTTTCACCTAGATACTTGGCCACAGCTGCTAGGGTCACAAGAGACAGAGGACGATCGTGGTGTCTCAGAGATTAGCCCAGCTTCGCACAAGCTCGCAGCTCGCAGGGGCTCAGCACCAGCACCACCACGACGCCCACACCGTTGAGCGCGGTCCGAAACTGCCAGCTGGAGCCCTTGGTGGAAGGCTCTGGGTGCAAGCGTGCCTGGGCCGCCCTGTGAGAGCCCATGGGACCATGCCTCCGGCTCTGGGACCATCCGCGGCCCGGGGCGGGTGATGCGATGGTCGGAGCCGAGCGGTGACTGATCCGGTGAAGTGGTCCCCTTCGGAGCTTCTGGTCCGATCCTCAGCCAATCCCAGACCGGACTGGAAGAGTTACATACCTTTTACATTATTCGAACCCTATCCAACTGACCCGGGGTTTTCACAAGATCTTGATGATCGACGGATAGGGTCAAGATGTTTTACCATGTTTTGCCCTATCAAGACTATTGATGGATGCTCTGGGACTGGAAAAACATTGAAAACTCAGAAGATCCGACCCGACCCGATCCGACGCGAGAGTCCGATCGACTCCACCCGCGGAATCAGGCTTGGCACTGCTGGAGGAGTCAACCTTTGGGGTTGGAGAGATGCTTTGATTAATGACGGAGGCGACGTATGGCGGGTCATGTTCCTTTTTGTGTGTTCTCTTTTTTTTTTGGGGGGTGTATTAGGGCATGGTTTGCGGGAGACCAAGTGTTGGCATTTTGGTTTGGTGCTTGCATTTGGGACTTGTGAGTTCTAGTTCGGAACTTATATCTATATAAGCATGAGGTCACCATCAACTAACACCCCTGTCACCATACTACCCCTTATACCATGCCCCTTATATTAGCATGGTGTGTCTTTTGGGTTCCGTGTCGGTCACCCGGTCACCATCCGTCACCATCCGTCACCGGTGGAACGGGCGCCGAGGAACGGTCAGGAGACGGAAGGTCGACACCGGTGTTTGGCAGCTCGGTGCCAGCAGTCCGATGACGGATGACAGCGGAGTACGGTATACGTTACACCGCGGAGTACGGTATGGGTTGGGAGATGACCAAACGCCACCGCGAAGGAAAAAGCGTTTTGGATGTAAGTAAGTCTCTTCCTGAATAAAAAGCGGTTGGGTACCTGGGTGCCTGGCAGTAGATCGGAGGATTGTGCTTTTGTCCGGGTTGTCTTCCCCAGAATGAGGAAGGGCTCTTGGAAAGGTGCCTTAAGCAAATCACAGCAAATCCAAGGGTAGACCTCCATGTCTTGGCAAAGCAAAATCCCTTTCAACATGTCTTCGAAAACGGGGCCACTATCTATTTTAAGGACCACGATCTAGATCTGTTGATGAATGCCACTCCCCCTGCCCGACCCTAAATAAACTGGTTTAGGGTCGTTGGTCCACTGGTCCGCGGTTAAGAATGTGTTCGGGCACGGCATGGGACGACGATCAGAAAAGGTGAAGGTAATCTGGAAAACCCATAGCCTCTTGGCATAGTTCAAAGGAAAACCGGAACCCACGGTGACCTCTCCCAGGAACAGATGCGGAGCTACCCTGAGGCTGATAGCTTCGTGCATGCTTTGGGCCGCTTGGTGAGTAAGATCAGCTTGGGCGCTCCACCAGTTCGGGAGGCCGGCGCCTGGGGCCAAGGCCAAGCCTTTAAGAAGTGGACGGTTGCGCATTCGAACTCTCAGGAAGCATTCCACGTTGGAACACTGACCACAGTCCTGACCATCTTCAGCCTTTGAGACATACACTGACCATTCAGGGGCCCTGGCAGTTCCGGCCATACAAGGTCGATGCGAGATTTGGCAGTGCGGCACCCGGGCGCGCCTGCAGATGTCGGCTGGGCCAGGAGGATGGGATGGGATGGCCACCTCAGTGGTGGTGGGCCTTGAGGCTTTCAGACTCGTTCCATGTGTTGCCCGAGAAGCCAAAAACAAACACATAACGCGAAGGCGGGAAGTCTGGGTTCATGAGGGCCTGTGAAACATGGAGGAGGGACCTCACTTCTCGCAACGTACTGTTGGAACTCAAGCATTGCGTGCCAACGTGGCATAACGTGGCAACTGTCTGTGACTACTTTCATTAACTGTTACCTCCGCTAAACTATGTTTTAAAGTTTGATATCCTAAAACTTTCATGAATGTTGGTCCAGCACTCCGACATGAAAGATGTGCCCCCACTAGACATGATGTGATTCTCCAAGCAGATAGCGCCCAGGGCCCAGTCAATGGGCCCTGGGCGCGCTGTTGGCCTACACAGCCCTATGGGGCTCCGCATGGAGCTTTGGGGATGTTGGAGCTCCGTTTGTGGCGTTGCTCCGCTGTCGCTGCATCGAGCGGCTACGACGGCTCGACAGGAGCCTTGTCATCGTCGCCCGACGCCATCGAAGCTTGGATGCGACACCGGACCGAGCGTGACGTCTCCAAGTAGTTGTTGGGGGGTATGATCCCTATAGGGCTCCAACTACCTCCTGAGAAGATAGTTGGGGTGGCCAGGGGGGTCTAACCACTTTCTGAAGATATTGTTGGAGCCCTAGGGGATGGTGTGAGGGATGGTGTTGGAGTTCTGCTCTCAAGAGCAGATTAGGCTTGAAGGTGTCAAGTTTATGAAATATTGTTTCACGCATCTTCGGTACAAGTGATGCCGTCAAATTGTGACCACACATAGAGCATCCATGTTAGTATACTATTACTGAATTGATAGTTTGGACAGCCCCGAATCAATGCATGCCTCCTTGTCCAAACTTGGATCCCAGGTTGCAGGGGATCACCCAAGCAAGAGCGGTCAAGAAAAAAACTCCCCGATGCTGAAGAATGGCAACGCAATTGCAATGAGTTTTGAACAACACGGTCCAAAGCAGATCGCTATTTATTAGGAATTATATGGAATTATTAGGATGTTGGAGGCCATCGCTATTAGGTTGGAGGCCATTGCTACTAGGGTGGAGGCCATCGATATTAGGAACAACAACACAACAACCAATGAATTGGAAATAAAGAGTCAACACCAAAATCACATCCCCCAGGCGAGACAGACCATCCTCAGGAAGACATAGGAAGACGGGGGTCCACGGGGTCAACCATCCTCTTCTAGGCCTTGATCGCGTCCGATGGGAGCTATGTGATGGCCGATGAGGCCAGCACGGGGGCGTTTGAAGCGGGTTGGGGGGCACCCTTACCTTGAGAGCTATACGCTATAGGTGTTAATTGAAACATGTGTTAGGTGTAGTGTTAGGTGTGTGAATGTCATGTTGCTGAATCTGTTTGAGAGGTTGATTCGAACGGGGATAAGATGTGCGATTCATGACCCCAGAGCCAACATGTGTGGCTGGTGTGTGTGTCCTTTGTATGTTTTTGTAAGCCATGAGATTGGACATACAGGCATGAGACCTTTGAGAACACCTTATAGCTGAATCTGGTTCCGTGTTCAGTGGCTTGAACCTGCCTTCAGCGGCCACTGCCAGGTCTTCCCGGGGTTTGGTCAGAAGACCTGGTGGAACCACCTGGTGGAACCACCTGGTGGAACCACCTGGTGGACGTGGGATGGGCGGAAGGACGCTGTAAATGGGACCCGCCGGGGCACACGGGACCGGCCAAGCACCTGCACAGGCTGGTGAGATGCATTTATCGGAGGCATTTCTCCCTGAAGCCGTCTTTGACCTGAAGGACTGCGGGGGGGATCCAAGCAAAAGATCCATGCCATGCCACTTCCTTGCTGGTGATGCGTTTTTAGAACCAAATCCACACTGCGGAACCAGTTCGGTCTCCAACACCAGGTTTCCCAAAACCAGTATATACCAGTTAATCTATAATTGCGCTGTTGGGGATGGATATAAGGGTTCTCGCGTCCAATGAGCCCGGCTGGGCATCCGCCCACGCGTTCCGCACGCTGGGAGCCGGGGAGCCAGACCATTTGGGGCATCGTTTTTGGTTGTTTTCGGTGCAGGCGGGGTGAGACAGCTTCCACGTTCCGAAGAATCAAGACTTTGCAAAATCATGCGACGAAACAAAGGAAAGACGTCAAACAGGCACAACTTGTGTTCCAAGATGCTTGCCAAGGTTGCCACGGAGAAATGCTTCCCTAACAAAGAGCAGCCTTCTCTACACAAGCGAAGGGTTTATTTCAGGAAGCAAAGTATATATAAAGATCATGTAACGATAGAAAGCGCACTCTGACTCTCCGTGCGTTGCAGCCTTCACGTTGCTCGACACCTGAGGAGGTGGAGAAAGGTGTCACCTTGAAGGCCAAAGCCACAGGGAAATTCCTGAAAGCCGAGCCTGGAGGCGGAACGGTGAAGAGCCAGATCATCTCTTGGTGGATCACTGCAAGAATCTGTGTCCTTAGCTTGGGGATTTATGTAAAGAGTTGAACCTGTTTTCCTCTCTCTCTCTCTCTACATGATTGTAGTTCATTCATATATATATATATTTACGTACTCTACTATGTTACTATGTTATGTGGTTCTTACTACGCGCTACGGAAACGAGGCCTCAAGGAGATGTTTTTTGAGGTTGGTATACCAGGGGGAGTATCAGGGGGTGCATCTTCGCAAGCTAAATCTCGTTTGCTTACACACATTGTCCAAGGTTTGGATGGCACGGCCTCCTTTCCCTCAAGAGGAACATGAAAAGATCACCCAATTACAGCTCTCCATCACCATCTCAGCTGCAGGAAGTACGTGTTTTCTTCCCGCCGCTTCGTTCATACATCCCGATCGATCTCATCGCCAGCGCAGGTCCACTGAACGGAGCACCTTCCGCTTCCGCTCGTTCGCTGTCCCGGCACGGTCGGCTTCGTATGGGCTTCGTAGGCCATTTGAGGGCCGTCACCGAGCGGTGGGACGACTGGGCTGCTTGGAGGCACCCACCCACCCACCGGTTGGACGGAGAGGCACTCACCTGTTGCTTCGGAAAAGGGTAGACCTCCCAGGGCTAGGCAGGTCGGCACGCTGCTTGGCACATCTTCTTGGTTGTTCAGGGCTCCAGCTCGGATCTCGCTCGCTGGCAAAGCACGTTCACGAGACCGTAGGAACAGCACGAGTAGTACCGGTTTTTGGACGGACTGTTCGTAGTTCCAGTTCAGACGCGAAGCCAAAAAGGGGGCCTTCAGCCACTGGCGGGATTTTGCTGGGGTGAATGTGTCGCACGGATAAACTGTGACCACCGGTTGGGATGAACCGAAAACCAACAACGATCCGTCCCGGGTTGGGAGGAACCCGGCAGTTGCAACACTCAACATAGGAAACAGGTATTCCGTGTATCCCTTACAAAGATTGAGCATTTTGCCCGGACTAGATTTTGCTGACATGTGTTCCATAATGTTCCATACCAATTGTGACGCAAGTCCGTGCTGGTGCTGGTGTTGTTGTTCTTGTTGTTGTTGTTGCTGTTTCCTTTTGTTCTTTCTTTCCCTGGCATCCATTAGCTGAGGAAATTTTCCAGTTGGAGCAGTTGGACGACGGAATTTCAGTGGCCTTGAAGAGTTTCTCTTGGCCGATCTGGCGGGTGTTTTCATGTGAGCAGCGGTTTTTTTTCTCTATGAAAGAGTTTATACAAAAGTGGAACTACTCTTGATGCTGCGTAGGCTATTCTGCTTGGGGGCGTAAGCTTGCGTAGGCAACCGCGTAGGAAAACATAGTAGTGCCTCGCGTAGGCAGATTTGCGTAGTTGTAACTTGGAGTAAATCTAATAACCTGTAACACGGAAAGAACAATGGACCGATATTTATCCTTTAGTTGACTTGCTTGGTGGCTGGTACTTGAAGTTTGAGGAAGTAGAGTGACCTTGTTGCTGTATGCTTCTTGGGGATCACAGTGCGAAAACTGTGTGAGGGATTTCGACAACAGGGGTTTGCTGAGGAAAATGTATTGCGCGCCCATCGAGATGGGCTGTGACATGGTTTTCTTTGAGTTTGTCAACTTGTTGAACAAACCGGTACAGTCAGCTTTCTGAGCCTAATTTCCATGGTCATTCACATATGTGCATGTGTGTACAGTACCGGTACAACTGTAGAACCGTGTGACAAGATGCAGGCAAACCCCGCGTATGCTTCGCGTATGCCTTGCGTAGATGCTCGCGTACGCTGCGGCTTGGTTTGGAAGGGGTTGGCCCACTTCTGTTTTTCATGCTTGTAACCTATAATGTGAGCCGTTTAAGCAAGCTTGTAGTCGTCATTTTTCGTGTCTGTCTCTGTGAGCCGCGCCGTGAAAACATGGGACGACTTCACGCCCAAGTACCGCAAAGAACTCGCTCTGTCGCTTGCAGACACCATCATGGAGAAAACCGCTTCCCTTGATGAGGCTGCTTCTTTCCTCCAGCTTGTTGGGCAGGTCATTCAAAACAAGACGGGGCAGACACTACGCAACCTTGTCTTTAACCAGGTCGAATTCACCACCAGTCAGGCTGAGACCCTACTTCGCTCTCTAGGTTAGCTCCGGGAGAAGTACGCTACCCACAATAGCCAACTACATCTCCCCAAGGTCAGCGTTCAAGAAATGGATTGCGCCACAGTGAGCTCCTGCATAGCTTTGAAGACCTTGAATAGCTTTGGGTACAACATAGGGAGAAAGGAGTACAAGCACGCAACCTCAACTGAACCAAAGTCTGCTGCTCGGGAAAGCCGTGTAGGCCCGTGTAGGCCGAACAACATTTCCTTGGCGAACATCCCTCAACCTGCTGGGCCAGAGCCTGGCGATGTCAATGAACTCGTACGACGACATATGGCCCAGAAGCACATTCAGCCTCATCAGCCTGTTGCCCCTGCTGGGGACATTGAGACTTTGCTGAAAAAGGCCGAGGACAGACTGACCAAGGCTGCTTCTAAGAAGCGCCGACAGGCACAGGCTTTGCTGTCTTCATCTTCAAGCTCGTCTTCTTCTGCATCCTCATCTTCTTCATCTGCATCTGCTCCGTGAAGGCAGCGTGCAAAAAAGGCCTCGCGTAGTCGACCGCGTAGGTACCTCAACAAAACCCTGGATCTGGAACATGCTCGCGTAGGCTACCTCACATACTTTTGATATGTCGCGTAGGCGCTCGCGTATACATGCTGCGGAGTGTATACTTCCAAGCACCCAAGAAAACCACCATTCATGTGTTCTTTGGGGGGAGCATGCCCATCCACAAAGTATGCTCATCCGTTCATGCAGTTGGGGCCCGTTGGGGTCCTTAGTGGTGAAGGTGGATGTGATACCGACGTAGAAGGTTAGTAGATAAGTGTGCAGCCAAAATCGAATCGCAATGGCCCCCTTCACTTGGTATTGGCCGAATAGAACATAGAACACCTGGATCCATCAGAAGTTTGCATTCATATAGAAGTTATATAGCTGCGTAATAGGCCCAGAGGAGGCCAATGACGCCTCCGGACCATTCTGCCGCGCCCGGCCGCCCCTTCCAAGGCTTTCATGGCCCGTACATGGCACGTCAAGGGACTTCCGTCGCTGCCAACGCCTGGCAGAAGGGACCCGAGGCGCAGAGCGCCCTTCAACCACCCGGCGGCGCTGCCAGCATGCACTCAGACCAGTCGCAACCTCTTACAGTTGCCTCCCCCTTTCTTTGAAGAATTATGAAGAAGGGAAACATAGTGAAACCATGTGTAACCTATCAACGAAGAGCCAAGCAAGTGAGTACCATGTAAAGGACTATATAACTGCATGTGATTAAATGTCCAGCGTCAATCGCGCTGGCAGATGCAGTGTTTTGCAACTTGGACCGCGCAAGCTGTCCGAACTGTCCGAACCTTGGCGAGGCAGCCTTCCGAATTGAGAATCGCTCCCGCGCTGCCTGGACAGGGATCCTCAGCTGATGGAGCTTGTGTAGGGGGCGGAAACCACGAAAGAGGGAACCAAAGGGAGCAGAGAATGTGAGCAGCAGCATGTTGAGGTGCTTTGGTGGTGAAACTTGCAATCGTTTATGGTCAGATTGCTCGACGCGAATTCGAAGATGGTTTGAGTTCAAAGAAGTTGTATAGTTTTCATAAGGTCAACCCATGCTGACTCGGTGTTTTTCTTCGTCGTGTTCCTCGAAAACTGCGATGCTTTAGACCCATCTGTGTGGGGTCCAAACCATTCACAGTAACTATACCCTAGAAGTCCAAAGACTATTTTAGGCACCACCCAAGTAAAGGAAGTTCCTTTTCGGATCACCTAAAGACCGTTTTGAAAATAGTCTTGGACTCCCAGGGTAGGTATATATATATATATACTAAATTTGCTGGCAAGTCCTTGCGTTGCTGAATAAGTGGCCTGTTGTATGGAAATGTTGGAGGTAGTCACGCTGGAATGGTGTTTTGAAAGCGTTGCAATGCTGGCCTGGCTCGGCCATTTGATTTTGGCCCATGGCCCAGACGAGCTTTTTCATCCAGTAATCGTGCCTTCCCAAGGAGTGGTCAACAATTCATGAAGACTATGTCCAGCACTGGCCAACTGGCATGTGCTTGGCCCTCAGCTTCGGCCGCCGTCCGTTGCTGTGCAAACGGCTCCATCGCAAGAGACGCGAGCGGCTGCCAGAACCGGAAGAGTCTTGGCAGCCTGGGCGGTTGAAATGCTGTTGGATGGAGGTAGGGAGGTCATGGAAGAGTGTTCAAAGCCACTTTTCTCCTTTTTCTATTGAAGAGGCTTGAAGCGACACATGGCCAAAGTTGTTGATGTTGCACTTGGACTCCGTGGAACGTGGAGAAACACCATGGAAAGACATCCATGTTTGTGGACTCTGTTCATGAGGCTTTTGATGATCCCGCCTCCACACCTCAAAAGCAGCTAGCCTCGCGACACATGGCCTCTCCTTGGCGCTAAGGAATTTCACAGAAGCAGTGAGCATTTGTGCACAGCACCTCGCACAGCATGAGTGATGAGACCGGGTCAACATCTGGCAATTATGGTGATGATTGCAGGTGGCGATGGAGAGAGAGAGAGAGAGAGAGAGATGGTGATTGTCCACCCTCTTCGATGTGCAGCATCGAAATTGAGATTGGAACTCGCTGATTCTTTCAAGCCCTTCTCCATGTGGTTGTCGGAATGGGTCAATCAACTGGCTGAGGCGGGGGCTGACCCTTTGCACGGAAGAGCAGCTCCAGTCCGAGGAGTGTGGAAGTTGCGCGCTGCCCGGGGAACAGGGGCAATTCTGGACCTCCTCCGCGCCTCGGTGGACCTAACGGGTGGCCAGGGTGACGGTCAGAGACCTTCGGAAGCGGAATCGAATCCGGTTCTTAGACAGCTCCGAGTCCACATCCTGCAGCCAAATTCAAGACACCCTGAGTCGCTGACCGGGAACGAGAAATCGTCCGTCGACGCCGGTTTTTGGCTTGGAACGGTCAAAAATGCACGCTAACTCAAAAAGCGAGGACATGTTTTGAGCCTTTCTCTTTGAGAAACCCATCTGGTTCCCCGCAGAATCCCACGGGGACCGACGGGCCGAGAAGAGTATCTCAGGTGTGCTCTCCCACGGAAGCGTTGACGTTGCGGCGCCTGAACTTGCGAAACGACCGGGCTGCTGTTTTCAGTGGCCCAGAGGCAATGATGACAGAAAAGGAGGGAGGTTGTGAAGCAGCTTCATTTCACACACACATATATAGATATACAATATATATATATACTATATATATATATAACACGGATGGAGGGAAGATGAGGGAAGACGGAAGACAAATAGGGAAGTGGACATGATGCAGGGCCACAAATGGAGGCTGTGGAGGCTGTGGAGGTCAGATAGAACCCGTCAGACCCAGAGTGGAAAGGACATGAGCGTACCCACCGGCATTGTGGGAGGTCGTTGGTGCATTCTCCCACGGCGGAGCGCAGGGCATGGGGGGTGTCTCACCTCGTTTCCGAAACACGGCGACTTTCGATGACCTGGCGAGTCAGGTCACCTTTGTCCATACCAGTCTGCCAAGGGCGGTTTGCATGGCGAAGAGCTTCGCTCCACAGTCCTGGTGAAGCTCATGGAGCCCTGCAGCCTGCGTTTGTTTTTCTTTTCTCCGCGCGCGTGTTTCTTTTCTCAAACAAGAGGTGCAGCGGTTGTGGGCGCTGAATGCAGTATTTGAGTGTGTGAAAGCACGGCATCAAAGAACATGTGGCAAAGAATTTGCTCATATTTCAGAATATCTACATCCAATTCGGCAATTAGGATGCGTTTATCCAATCCGCTCTCCCGCAGTTCACGGTTGCACGCAGTTGTTGGTTCTTCAGACCACTCCAGGAGTGGAACTACAAGGATGTGGCCAAAGAATGTGCCTGGGAAGATGGCCGGTTTGGTGGTGACTCACAACAATCCCAGGGATGCCTTGTGACTTTGGAGTGGTTTACACTTCCCGGTAAGTCACCCAGATCACCTGCCATTTGAGAACTTTGGGATGGGCCACCAGGGAAAAAAGGGGAAGGCAAAACATCAGACACTTCCAAGGATGTTGAGGGGGAATTGAACTCCAGGCAGCTGGTTCCGTTGCATTCACCTTGTCTCCTGACTTCTTTTGCCAGGCTTGTAGGTGGGAACCTCCCTACCCCTGTAGCCTGCAGGTTGAAAGCTGTGCTGTGCTCCGGCTTCAGGTACAGAGTATTTGGCGCCGAATGGCTTTGAGGCGGTCCAGGTCGCACCAGTCACCGAGCATATCCTGGGATATCAATGGTGGGCCCCTTGGTGTAAGATTTGCGGGGAACTAGAGGAAGGGAGGAGGACCATATGGTGAGAGTGGATGTTTCACAGGTTCTTTCGATCCACATGTTGCTTATACTGCAGCCCTTTTCCAGACCCAATTCCGGCCTTTTGGGGTCTCTCCGTTTTTTGCGAAGACGGCCTCCATCCTCTCAGGTCATCTTGGGCCTCCCATGGGTCGACTGAGGTGAAGTACCAGCCGGTCTCGGCTGGCCTCGACTCACGCAGCGGCACAGAGGAGGAGCTGAGAGCCATGGTGCGCACCTGCCGTGCGGCAGGCGAGTGAGGTAGTGGGTGAGGGGAGGAGGCCCTTTTGTGGTGTCCAAGATGGGTGCGGTGGTGATGAAATAGAAGCTGTAAGATGAGAACAACGGCTTGGAGGGAAAGCTCATTTGAGCACTGGTAGCAGGCTCGGTAAGAGTGGATCATGGAAATGAAGGGAACGTGAGTGCATAGCCGCACAGCACTTGCTTTTGACAAAAGCACTGCTTTACTGTAACTATATTTTACTGCAAACATAGCCGTATATAATATATATTTATATGAATGTAAGATTTTGCACGACCAAGGGGAAGATATACCTCATTTGCACTTGTCCCAAAACCACCTGGAGGTGTGCAGGTCATTGTAGACATCCTCATGAACCACGTGGCTTCGCCCTGCAAGAAGGCCGAGGACCTGTACAAGTCTGGTCAGCACGAAGGACGGACTGTAGGGCCAGCCACAGGGCCCCTGATCCACACACTTATGGATATGCGTACTGATGTGAATGCGGTGCCACACGCCGGCCTAAGATTCCAAATCCTGAAAGGTCCAGGACAATCCTAAAGGGCCTGGGGGTCT